CTGCCGGTGTAGGATGTATAGAGTGTGTCCTCTGCATGCTGTCGGTGTAGGATGTATAGAGTGTGTCCTCCCTATGCTGTCGGTGTAGGATGTATAGAGTGTGCCCTCTGTATGCCGTCGGTGTAGGATGTATAGAGTGTGCCCTCTGTATGCCGTCGGTGTAGGATGTATAGAGTGTGTTCTCTGTATGCTGTCGGTGTAGGATGTATAGAGTGTGTCCTCTGTATGCTGCCGGTGTAGGATGTATAGAGTGTGTCCTCTGTATGCTCTCGGTGTAGGATGTATAGAGTGTGTCCTCTGTATGCTGTCGGTGTAGGATGTATAGAGTGTGTCCTCTGTATGCTGTCGGTGTAGGATGTATAGAGTGTGCCCTCTGTATGCCGTCGGTGTAGGATGTATAGAGTGTGTCCTCTGTATGCTGTCGGTGTAGGATGTATAGAGTGTGTCCTCTATATGCTGTCGGTGTAGGATGTATAGAGTGTGTCCTCCGTATACTGTCGGTGTAGGATGTATAGAGTGTGTCCTCTGTATGCTGTCGATGTAGGATGTATAGAGTGTGTCCTCTGTATGCTGTCGGTGTAGGATGTATAGAGTGTGTCCTCTGTATGCTGTCGGTGTAGGATGTATAGAGTGTGCCCTCTGTATGCCGTCGGTGTAGGATGTATAGAGTGTGCCCTCTGTATGCCGTCGGTGTAGGATGTATAGAGTGTGTTCTCTGTATGCTGTCGGTGTAGGATGTATAGAGTGTGTCCTCTGTATGCTGTCGGTGTAGGATGTATAGAGCGTGTCCTCCGTATGCTGTCGGTGTAGGATGTATAGAGTGTGTCCTCCGTATGCTGTCGGTGTAGGATGTATAGAGTGTGTCCTCCGTATGCTGCCGGTGTAGGATGTATAGAGTGTGTCCTCCGTATGCTGTCGGTGTAGGATGTATAGAGTGTGTCTTCCGTATGTTCTCGGTGTAGGATGTATAGAGTGTGTCCTCCGTATACTGCCGGTGTAGGATGTATAGAGTGTGTCCTCCGTATGATCTCGGTGTAGGATGTATAGAGTGTGTCCTCTGTATGCTGTCGGTGTAGGATGTATAGAGTGTGTCCTCTGTATGCTGCTGGTGTAGGATGTATAGGTTGTGTCCTCTGTATGCTGTCGGTGTAGGATGTATAGAGTGTGTCCTCCGTATGCTGCCGGTGTAGGATGTATAGAGTGTGTCTTCCGTATGTTCTCGGTGTAGGATGTATAGTGTGTGTCCTCTGTATACTGTCGGTGTAGGATGTATAGAGCGTGTCCTCTGTATGCTGCCGGTGTAGGATATATAGAGTGTGTCCTCTGTATGCTGCCGGTGTAGGATATATAGAGTGTGTCCTCTGTATACTGCCGGTGTAGGATGTATAGAGAGTGTCCTCTGTATACTGTCGGTGTAGGATGTATAGAGTGTGCCCTCTGTATGCTGCCGGTGTAGGATGTATAGAGTGTGTCCTCTGCATGCTGCCGGTATAGGATGTATAGAGTGTGTCCTCCGCATGCTGCCGGTGTAGGATGTATAGAGTGTGTCCTCTGTATGCTGTCGGTGTAGGATGTATAGAGTGTGTCCTCTGTATGCTGTCGGTGTAGGATGTATAGAGTGTGTCCTCTGTATACTGTCGGTGTAGGATGTATAGAGTGTGTCCTCCGCATGATGCCGGTGTAGGATGTATAGAGTGTGTCCTCTGCATGCTGCCGGTATAGGATGTATAGAGTGTGTCCTCCGCATGCTGCCGGTGTAGGATGTATAGAGTGTGTCCTCTGTATGCTGTCGGTGTAGGATGTATAGAGTGTGTCCTCTGTATGCTGTCGGTGTAGGATGTATAGAGTGTGCCCTCTGTATGCTGTCGGTGTAGGATGTATAGAGTGTGTCCTCTGTATGCTGTCGGTGTAGGATGTATAGAGTGTGTCCTCTGTATGCTGTCGGTGTAGGATGTATAGAGTGTGTCCTCTGTATGCTGTCGGTGTAGGATGTATAGAGTGTGTCCTCTGTATGCTGTCGGTGTAGGATGTATAGAGTGTGTCCTCTGTATGCTGTCGGTGTAGGATGTATAGAGTGTGCCCTCTGTATGCCGTCGGTGTAGGATGTATAGAGTGTGTCCTCTGTATGCTGTCGGTGTAGGATGTATAGAGTGTGTCCTCTATATGCTGTCGGTGTAGGATGTATAGAGTGTGTCCTCTGTATGCTGTCGGTGTAGGATGTATAGAGTGTTTCCTCTGTATGCTGTCGGTGTAGGATGTATAGAGTGTGTCCTCTGTATGCTGTCGGTGTAGGATGTATAGAGTGTGCCCTCTGTATGCCGTCGGTGTAGGATGTATAGAGTGTGCCCTCTGTATGCCGTCGGTGTAGGATGTATAGAGTGTGTTCTCTGTATGCTGTCGGTGTAGGATGTATAGAGTGTGCCCTCTGTATGCCGTCGGTGTAGGATGTATAGAGTGTGTCCTCTGTATGCTGTCGGTGTAGGATGTATAGAGTGTGTCCTCTATATGCTGTCGGTGTAGGATGTATAGAGTGTGTCCTCTGTATGCTGTCGGTGTAGGATGTATAGAGTGTTTCCTCTGTATGCTGTCGGTGTAGGATGTATAGAGTGTGTCCTCTGTATGCTGCCGGTGTAGGATGTATAGAGTGTGCCCTCTGTATGCCGTCGGTGTAGGATGTATAGAGTGTGCCCTCTGTATGCCGTCGGTGTAGGATGTATAGAGTGTGTTCTCTGTATGCTGTCGGTGTAGGATGTATAGAGTGTGTCCTCTGTATGCTGCCGGTGTAGGATGTATAGAGTGTGTCCTCTGTATGCTGTCGGTGTAGGATGTATAGAGTGTGTCCTCTGTATGCTGTCGGTGTAGGATGTATAGAGTGTGTCCTCCGTATGCTGTCGGTGTAGGATGTATAGAGTGTGTCCTCTGTATCCTGTCGGTGTAGGATGTATAGTGTGTGCCCTCTGTATACTGCCGGTGTAGGATGTATAGAGTGTGTCTTCCGTATGTTCTCGGTGTAGGATGTATAGAGTGTGTCCTCCGTATACTGCCGGTGTAGGATGTATAGAGTGTGCCCTCTGTATGCCGTCGGTGTAGGATGTATAGAGTGTGCCCTCTGTATGCCGTCGGTGTAGGATGTATAGAGTGTGTTCTCTGTATGCTGTCGGTGTAGGATGTATAGAGTGTGTCCTCTGTATGCTGCCGGTGTAGGATGTAAAGAGTGTGTCCTCCGTATGTTGCCGGTGTAGGATGTATAGAGTGTGTCCTCTATATGCTGTCGGTGTAGGATGTATAGAGTGTGTCCTCTGTATCCTGTCGGTGTAGGATGTATAGAGTGTGCCCTCTGTATACTGCCGGTGTAGGATGTATAGAGTGTGTCCTCTGTATCCTGTCGGTGTAGGATGTATAGAGTGTGCCCTCTGTATACTGCCGGTGTAGGATGTATAGAGTGTGTCTTCCGTATGTTCTCGGTGTAGGATGTATAGAGTGTGTCCTCCGTATACTGCCGGTGTAGGATGTATAGAGTGTGCCCTCTGTATGCCGTCGGTGTAGGATGTATAGAGTGTGCCCTCTGTATGCCGTCGGTGTAGGATGTATAGAGTGTGTCCTCTGTATGCTGCCGGTGTAGGATGTATAGAGTGTGTCCTCTGTATGCTGTCGGTGTAGGATGTATAGAGTGTGTCCTCCGTATGTTGCCGGTGTAGGATGTATAGAGTGTGTCCTCCGTATGCTGTCGGTGTAGGATGTATAGAGTGTGTCCTCTGTATCCTGTCGGTGTAGGATGTATAGAGTGTGCCCTCTGTATACTGCCGGTGTAGGATGTATAGAGTGTGTCCTCCGTATGCTGTCGTTGTAGGATGTATAGAGTGTGTCCTCTGTATACTGTCGGTGTAGGATGTATAGAGTGTGTCCTCTGTATACTGCCGGTGTAGGATGTATAGAGTGTGCCCTCTGTATGCCGTCGGTGTAGGATGTATAGAGTGTGTTCTCTGTATACTGTCGGTGTAGGATGTATAGAGTGTGCCTTCTGTATGCTGCCGGTGTAGGATATATAGAGTATGTCCTCTGTATACTGCCGGTGTAGGATATATAGAGTGTGCCCTCTGTATGCTACAGTACCGGTGTAGGATGTAAAGAGTGTGTTCTCTGTATACTGCCTGTGTAGGATGTATAGTGTGTGTCCTCTGTATACTGCCGGTGTAGGATGTATAGTGTGTGTCCTCTGTATACTGCCGGTGTAGGATGTAAAGAGTGTGTCCTCTGTATATTGCCGGTGTAGGATGTATAGTGTGTGTCCTCTGTATACTGCCGGTGTAGGATATATAGAGTGTGCCTTCTGTATGCTGCCGGTGTAGGATATATAGAGTATGTCCTCTGTATACTGCCGGTGTAGGATATATAGAGTGTGCCCTCTGTATGCTACAGTACCGGTGTAGGATGTAAAGAGTGTGTTCTCTGTATACTGCCTGTGTAGGATGTATAGTGTGTGTCCTCTGTATACTGCCGGTGTAGGATGTATAGTGTGTGTCCTCTGTATACTGCCGGTGTAGGATGTAAAGAGTGTGTCCTCTGTATATTGCCGGTGTAGGATGTATAGTGTGTGTCCTCTGTATACTGCCGGTGTAGGATATATAGAGTGTGCCCTCTGTATGCTACAGTACCGGTGTAGGATGTAAAGAGTGTGTTCTCTATATACTGCCGGTGTAGGGTGTAAAGAGTGTGCCCTCTGTATGCTGTCGGTGTAGGATGTATAATGTGTGCCTCTGTATGCTGCCGGTGCAGGATGTAAAGAGTGTGTCTTCCGTATGCTCCCGTTGTAGGATGTATAGAGTGAAACTGATGTATTTTTGATTTATATATAGATATATAGTTACTGTTTTCAAATAAGGAAGCAGGAAATAGTAGAGTTTCACAAGGGAATCTTATTCGTTTCACATTCGCGGCTTGAAACAGGAAATATTACGTTTATTCAAATACAAATATTTATTTAGATATGTGTTGAAATTTATTTTAGGGACATATTTGAATACGTTCAGTTAGCCTTCATGTACACAAGGTAGAGTCAAATGTATTCATAAGCTGATAGCTGTTTATTTAACAAAATATCAATATCGACATGCAATATATTGATATATGTTTATATCCTAGTTCTGGTGTGGTCATTTCTGATATTGTGCAGCAAATATTTAACTTCAATATGAGATGCTATGTTCCATAACTTGTAGTCCCTTTATGATCATAGACAGAACGAGTTATGATCCATTCAAATATACTGTGTGAAAACGGTAGCGGCAACCTTTATCGCCGAAGATAGCGGTAGGTTATGGTTAAAATCACTTTTAGTGCGAAAATATAACAATATGAGTTTCTACTTCCATCTAGCCTTCCAGAAATATGCACGTTTCATATTTTTATACTTTCGCCCCTCAATGTTGCAAATCTTATAACGAATTAAACTCCTGTTTAATGTCAGTGTAGAACAAGTTCATCGTTGCAAACAATGCCGGAGACGCATCCAAAATAACTGTCCGTCTTCCTCCTCCACAGGCCACGTGATGTAGGTTGTCGTCTGTAGCAGTGCAAACAGCGATGACGTCATGTTTCGGGCGTGTATCTCCTCCAGTAGCACCACCACGAGGTACCCCTCATCCTGCTCCAGAGAACGTTTCTGGACCAGAGTCAGCTCAAACTGGCACCATGGACTCTGACTGAAACTGTCCGACAGCACCAGGACTACGTTTCTGCTGTTATTCAAACTGTCTACAATGTTGTCAACTATGTAACGCCCAGGAGTGAAATCTCTCTCATGAATGCATAACTTTAAATTGTCCTCATTTTCAATTTTCGGCAGCAGGTTATTCCGTATCCACCCAGAATCATCTTCACAATACAGAACAAATGCATCATAGATGAATCTTTCTTCTCTTTCTTCGAATCGCTGTCTCTGTTTAAATCTCAGCATGTAAGCACAATAACGGATGTGCCAACGCCATCGGTATGTGAGGGAGATGATCACCAACAACACAATTGCTGCTGTGGATAGACCAAAAATAACAGGAAACATGTAAGGCGAGATTTGACATGTCTGTTTAGAGATATCAGCATCAATGAGACGTGTGGATTGGAGTTCAATAGGATATCCGCATACATATGAATCAGGAAAGTTGTCAAATTTATGTTTCTCTGCCTTTACCCATGTTACAAACCAGAGATTCGCACAAGTACAGACATAATTGTTATATGCTAAGTTGATATGTTTTAGTTGGTTTCTCAGATTTATTGGGAAAATGGCTTCATGTATAACTTCGATAGCGTTCTCTGATAAACTTATGGTCCTGAGTTTCTTCAAGTTGTTAAATAATCCCTGTTTTAACCGCATTATTCTGTTTCCATGTAGATCGATTGTTCGTAGTTCTAGTAACGTTGATATGACCTCGGGGAAGAATGATAATTGACATCTTGACATTTTTATACACTGTAAGGTTTGTAAATCACCAAGAAGTACATTTAAAAATGTGTCGTTAAAGTACAACATAGCATTGTATGATAAGCCGAGAGTTGTGAGTCCTGTACACCCTTTGAATGCATTTGAATTAACAATGAGATCAAAATACCCATACTGAGTAATACTTGCGAGATAAAGAGTTTTCAAAGCACTATTATTGAACGTATATGCCTCTAGTCCAACTGCATGTTTATACCTATCTTTGAAAACATCACTGAGATCTATCTCTTTTATTTGAAGTGGTGACGAAAATGTACCAGAGGCAATCGTGATTAATCTATTTCCAACTAAACTGAAGTGCTTCAAGTTGATGAGACACTCTAAACTATGTCTCGATAGTTGTCCTATATTATTTCCACTGAAATCTATTTCCACCAGATTTGAGTGGTTACTGCCAGAACAAAATCGGGGAAGCACCGACAAGCGGTTCCACTGGAGAAAAAGTTGAGTAAGTTGCGTAGGTACTATGTCTCGTATTATATAAATATCATTGTTTGAAGCTGATAATCCTCGGAGGATCTTTAGATCGCGTAGTTCAGTAAAATCCAATATTTTAAGATCATTATAATCAAGATCAAGATATTGAAGCATAGGAAGGTCTTGAAATGCATCACTGGAGATGTTGGTAATACTGTTGTTGGTGAGAGCTAGAATTCGTATATGCGTCATATGTTGAAACGTCATTCTTGTTATGCTTCCTAAATAGTTGGATGAAAAGTTGAGCAGTTCAGTTGTGGAGTTTAGGTCAGGAATCGTTGTAAGATTTCTTCCATTATCTATACATCTGACACATTTTGAGGCACAGACACACATGCGTTTATAACAAGAAGACCACTCATCTCCACATTGTACACGGTTCAGGTTCTTGGTTATCCCACATATTGCTTCCTTATTCATCACACACTGTGTGAGCACTAATATCAGAGTGGACGTGAGCGTCATATTCATCAAATCCAAATATTTCTCGAATCAGCTGTTTCTCTGAAGGAGTAAAACAATATGGAAACTGTTAAAATTGTGATTAATATGGTGCTTAACAAATGGAGAATACAAAACCATTTCCAGTCATAAGAAATCTCAGTCATTTGTATTCCGACTATATTATAAGCATATATGTTTGAATCACCATCAATACTTAATTTTAAACATCGATTATTACCGTTAAGTTTTGTCATAAATATTCTTGTTGTAAACAAGCAAATTATCGGAACTCAAAATTATATTATGGTTACACAAATGGCAAATATGGTTTGAATAAGGCCTCTTCACATTGTAGATATGCCCAATAAGAAAATACTGACCTTTCATCCCTCATTATATTAAAACAATTACAAGCGATATGGATGTAAAGCACGCCTAGCCTAGAGGACTACACGTCTGAATCACAATTTATCACACAAAGTGGTTGGTATATTCTTTTTTTCTTCTTGTTTTTGGTTCTTTTTCCAATTTATTTAGTCACTTCAGTGGAATGTTACATTCCCACATGTTCAGGCATATATGTTTTTCACGTACATTGTCAGGATAAGTACCGTATTCGACTTAATAAGCGACCCACTCTAATAAGCGCCCACGGCAATATTTGCTAATATATTGGCTAGTGAACAATCCCAATAAGCACCTCTTCCGATTGATCAATGTACACAAGACTTATTTATTCGGGAATAATACGTACTCGTGTGTTATATGAACCCTTAATAATGGGCAATTAAATTCTGGAAAAATATATCTGTCGTACATAAACATTTCGGGCTGTCAGCATAAACCACGAAAGTTATGTTTTTCACCAACCACGAAATTTATGTTTTTCACCAAAATGATGTTCTAATGAGATCCCCCTATTTCTAATTTTGAGAGCGCCCTGGGCGCTTATTACGTCGAATACGGTATGTGACTGTGAGATGCAATCGGACAGAAAGCATATAACATATTGTACAGAAACATATTTCTTGACATATTGACAAGGTGTTATATTAGTCGGAGCATGAATAGAAATATATCAACTACTTCTCATTAAAGTAACTCAGTAACTGCATTGGCCATTTCCCTCACACTTTGCAGCACACCTTTTTTTTTTTCGAACAATAAAGTGTTCCACAAGAACGATGTCTTTAATCATCCCAGTTAAGTTTATTATCCCCCGCCCAACGAAGTTGCCGGGGGACATAGAAACGGGCTCCGTCCGTCCGGCCGTCCGTACTTCCGTCTGTCCGTCACGTTTCGTTTCCGGAGCATAACTCATAAACCGTTCAATATTTTTTCATGAAACTTTACAGGTCTGTCAGGCACATGCTGAACTGGTGCCTTTTGCTATTGAGAAATTTTAGAAGTTTTTATTTTTTACGTTTACATGGCAACAAGATGGACTTAGGTTCTGTGAGGGTAGGGTTCGTTTCCGGAGCATAACCCATAAGCCGTTCAATATTTTTTTATCAAACTTTGCAGGTCTGTCAGGTACATGCTGAACTGGTGCCTTTTGCTATTGAGAAATTTTAGAAGTTTTTATTTTTTACGTTTACATGGCAACAAGATGGACTTAGGTTCTGTGAGGGTAGGGTTCGTTTCCGGAGCATAACTCATAAACCGTTCAATATGTTTTCATCAAACTTTGCAGGTCTGTCAGGTACATGCTGAACTGGTGCCTTTTGCTATTGAGAAATTTTAGAAGTTTTTATTTTTTACGTTTACATGGCAACAAGATGGACTTAGGTTCTGTGAGGGTAGGGTTCGTTTCCGGAGCATAACTCATAAACCGTTCAATATGTTTTCATCAAACTTTGCAGGTCTGTCAGGTACATGCTGAACTGGTGCCTTTTGCTATTGAGAAATTTTAGAAATATTTATTTTTTACGTTTCCATGGCAACAAGATGGATTTAGGTTCTGTGAGGGTAGGGTTCGTTTCCGGAGCATAACTCATAAACCGTTCAATATGTTTTCATCAAACTTTGCAGGTCTGTCAGGTACATGCTGAACTAATCTCATCTTTTTTTTACAATTTCCATGACAAGTTCCACCTCGGTTAAAATAGGTTAGGGTTTGTTTAGATTCAATTATTTCATAAATTCTGCAACAGGGGCGGGGGATATAGCCACGTTAGTGGCAAACTCTTGTTGTTTTTGATAATAGAGATATAGATATACCTTTTTGTAGATAAGATATATTATTCCAGAAATTATAGTCATTGTTAATTCCCAATAATATTACAAAGTCAGTTTAAATAACATTGATATCAAGTTGTCTTTTAATAAACAGTCATATCGTTCCAGACCTTCTTCACATTCTCAAAGGAAACAAAGATGTGAGGTGTTTATTTTCCGGTTCCTCCTCACAGAAAGTACACAACTATCTATTATTTCATCCTCTGTAATTCATTTAAGTGTGTACTCTATGGTGAATAAACTTGTATTGAAAAGCAACTCAGTGTTTTTGTTCTTCTTCCATAATTAGTGAATAGAACCTTGAGAGAATATTCTTCCATTATATTTGGAACGGTAGACCTGATAACATAAACAGAGTACATCTAACAAAGGTCTGTAATGAAGGTGGAATTAGCATGATTGATGCTAAACCATTTTTGACCTCATTAAAGATATCAACCATTAAGAGACATTTCTGCACTTAATATTTCTCAAACCACAGTGAAGAATCCCAACTGAGAATGCAATACTAGGCGCTAATATTGAAACATATACCATTATATATTAGTAACACCTTTTGGAAGGAGCTTGGAAAAGGTGAAAAATGGTAAAACATTACCGATTGGAAAATAGTTGCTGTGTTAGTGCTTATCATTCTGATAAAGCCGCTCGGTAAACATGATCAAATCCTACGTGTTGGGAAACGAAACGACACAACAAACTGTCTGGGCTCGCGATTCGCTCAAGGAAGATAATCCGTTACAAATGCCGAAGTAAGGTATTGTACCTAGCATCACGCAGTTGAATTATACAAAGTTGAAATTAAACCACGACCACAAAATTTGCAATAGCCTATATGACTTGAATATAAAGTGAATGTATACATGTCCAATAAGAAAATACTGACCTCTCCTCCCTCGATATATTAGGACATTACCCAGCAGAGGTTGAACACACCTAGCCAAGAGGATTACACTTCTGAATTACACGTTATTACACTTAGTAGTTTATGTACAGGAAAACAAAACAGAGCAAACAAAATAATGACTCAGTACTCATTGTGTGAGAATCATGCATCATAGGATAAATGCGAGCACAATGATGGACGCTGTGTGATCTTTCACAATGTCCTTGTATACAATATGACAACATTTTGGTATCGCATTGCTCCAGGACAAGTTTCTACAAACATTGCCTGACTAGTTACGGAAATAATAACACAACATGCCAAACAATGGGGATATAGCTCCGGTCGAGTGTGAAATCAAGCATTTACCGTTCACTTATATTGCAGCAAAATAACATATTTTGCATTAAAGACACATACAGCTTATTCCCGTGAAATATAATGCTGCAAAACATGTTTCTGAAAGTATATGTACTCACTACCCCCTGAGTACTCGAGTAACGTCTTTCTCCTGGGGTACCGGCATACTCGACAATTACTTTGAATACACGAGGGCAAAAAAATATAATTGCTTTTTTGAGGCAATTTGACTCCTCCGGTCGTCTGTCAATTCAACATTTGAAATTTATGTACTATATGGGTAAAGCTATCTATAACTTTGAAAAAAAATAATGTTTGAATCATTCATGTGAAATGGAATAATTAAACCCTGAAAGAAAATGTATACTAATGTTTCATGTGCATCTATATCATTTTAAGTGAGTGAGTGAGTTGGGTTTAACGCCGCTTTTAACAGTATTCCAGTTATATCACGGCGTGTCAGCTTAATGTGGGAGGAAAGCCCGAAGTGATGCAGGTCCCAGACGTTTACCACTTCGGTGAAACCCACGAGCACGGGTATGGTGCAGACAAACCTAGAAACATAATTGGGGCGAACCGGGATTCGAACCCACGATCATAGGTTTCTGGCGAGCCCAAGGGACACAACTCTGCACAGCGAGATATCATTTCAAGGTGAAGGGGGGCATGGATGGCCCATTCGACCAAGGCGCTACACGTCTCTATGCAGAGTTCCATTCATTGCCTGATACATATAATCGTTGCTTTGAATCCGTTGATTTGTTTCTGCTTTATCAGCATCATACCCATGTTCTTGGGTTCGTGGGTTCAAATATATAGATGACTCTAGCTCTTTCAACAATGCCGAGATAAATGATTATCTTCATTTCGACTGTCCACTAGAGGTGGAAATATAGAAACTAGGGCTGGGACAAGTCCAAATTTACTACCCGGGTAGTACCCCCCACTATTACCCTATCTTCAGCAACCCATGCTTGCCGTAAAAGGCAACGACTTTGCTTGTGCAATGTTGATTCTTAGGCTACAAATATTTCTCAGGTATCGGCACGTCACACAAACCCTAACGTTTTTATTGTCAATTATATACCTTGAGTGACGTCATGCCATCTCATAAAATCGTCAACTTGTGCAGAATATTTTATGTAACCCCCCCCCCCCCCCCCCACCCCCCACCCCCCCACCCCCCGATTTACATATTTTCTAGTAAATATTATTACTTATGTATTAGTGTAAAAATAATTTAATAATTATTTCCATATACCCAGACATCGGTTCAAAAATTGCATATTAGGCTTACATGTTTCAAATATCAGTAATGAGGAGATAAAAAACATTAAAAAATAACATTATTGAATGTGATCTCAGAAAACGAAAAAGACCAAGTGACTGTTTTCAAATGCAAGCAAACGCAATTTTCAAACTCAATGCGCAATCAAATCAATTTCCATAAGTATACTGTTGTTTAGATGTCCGAATAAACACTTGATTTCTCTCTTAAGAATATTTGGATGACTACCATTTAATCATGTAAACATTGTTTAAGTCGCATCCAGAATACATGTCTATCTTCCTCCTCGTCTGGCCACGTGATATAGGTAGTAGTCTGAAAGAGGGCATACAGTGACGACGTCATGTTCCTGTCCAAAATGTTTTCAAGCAGCACCAACAACAGATAACCCACATCCTTCTCCAGAGCTCGTTTCTGGATCAGAGCTAGTTCGAACTGACACCATGAACTCAGAATGAAAGAATTAGACAGCACCATGATGACGTTTCTGCTATTATCCAAATTGGTTACAATGTTATCAACTATATATTCCCCAGGAATAAAGTCTCTCTCGTGGATACACAGCTTAAAGTTGGCTTCCTCTTCAATCCTTGGTATGATATTATTCCTTACCCATCTGGAATCAGCTTCACAATAAACCACAAAAGCATCATAGATGTATCTCTCTTCATCAACTTGCTTCCTCCTTTTGTATCTGAACATGTGGATATAATAGCGAATGCGCCAACGTAATCTATAGGCAATGGAGATAACGACTATCAACACTATTGAAACTAATGAAAAACCATAGACTATGGGAAACACATAAGGTGAGATCCGACACGTCTCTTCTGAGACATTGGCATCAATCAGAAGCGTTGATTTGAGGTTCAATGGATACCCACATCGATATGACTCTGGGAAGTTAAGGAATTTACTTTTATCTGCCTTCACCCATGTAACAAACCAAAGGTTAGCACAAGTACAGACAAAATTATTGAAAGCCAAATTCACTTTTGACAATTGCTCTCTGATTGGAATAGAAAATAAAGCTTCACTGACAACCTGGATGGCATTTTGTGAGAGGTTCAGAGTTTTGAGTTTTGTCAAGTTGGTGAACACTCCTGGATCTAACGACATAATTCGGTTGCCATGAAGATCAATTTCTTTAAGTTCCCGGAAGTTCGATATTACACTTGGAAAAAAGGATAACTGACACCTTGGCATTCGTAGCACCTCTATTTTGTCAAGGCCAGAAAGGAGTGCTTTTAGATAGCTATTGTTCAAATAGATCATAGGGTTGTAGGACAGGTCCAACCATGTAACGCCCGTACACCCTCTCAGTGCCTTTGGGTTAACAATGTAATCTAAATAACCGAATTTAGTAATGCCTGCCAGAATAAGCTTTTTAACAGCACTATTATTAAATGCATATTCCTCAAGCACCTCATCGGTTGAGTAAGTTCTGAAAGCATTATTAAAAGAAATGTATTTAAGGTTTGATAATGACGAAAATGTATCTGAACGCATCCTCCACAGAAAATTGTCTGTGAAACTAATATGTTCCAAATCTGTGAGACATTTCATACTAACATTCGACAAGTGACTTATCGCATTTTCACCCAAATCTAAAGATCGAAGTTTTGAATAATTCGTATGAACACAAAATTTCGGAAGCTCTGTCAGGGAGTTTGAAAGGAACGAAATGTTAGTCAAATACCAGGGAACATCAGCTGTTGTCCAAGAAATGTCATTATGAGCAACATTTAAAACACGCAGTGACTTCAGGCGAGATATCACTGAAAAATTCAATTGTCGGATGTGAGCATGCTCGATTAAAAGAATCTTTAATTTGAGTCGCGAAAGCCCACGCACAAAATCGTCTGTAAGATTCCACAAATATCTGTTATTTGATACATCAATAGATCGAACTGTATTTTGTAAACTGTGAAATGATTTCTGAAGAACCTCTTCATGCACATTGTTGTATCTAAGATCAAGAACCTCCAGCCATTTCATATCTTGAAAAGCATCAGCAGAAATGTCTGTGATACTGTTGTTTCGAAGAATTAAGTCTTTTAACTGTGTGATATTTCGCAATGTTTTTCTTGTAATCCCACTTAGATAGTTTGAAGAAAAGTTCAGAGATGTTGTTGAAGTTTGTAAATCCGGAATACTTGTAAGATTCATTCCCCTATTTGTGCAAATGACACAGTTTGGAGAACATTTACACAGATTTTGGAAACACTTTATAAAGTTTTTTTCACATGATACATACTCTTCTTCATCAACATTTGTCAGCGATGCAGCTGTACAAAATGTTATCCAAAGAACGATCCAACAGCCATTAGCCATGATGTGTAGAAGTGTCTCCACATATACCCTGTAAAAAAACACTTAAAAGTTGTAAAATGTAAATAGCAGTAAATATATGATAGAGTGTTGCCGACATCCATACACATTTACCAAGATGAATTGAATTGGTTGATAGTCATTAATGAATTTGTCATTTGTGTATTGATTGGGTTTCATTAGTGTGGTAAGAATGGAAAAATCGACAAAAGAAAAAACTTGTTGGGCTATAAGAACGTTGGGTTTTCATTTGCATGTCATCACAGCCTTACAGCAAGGGAACAGCGAAAACATGCCACGACTGACGGAAGCCAAACGCAACAACGCCATCGACCAACTGCATACATGATAATCATCTTCAGCTGTAGCCAGGTTTATCCACGTAGCACCAAGCACCATTACAAGACTGGAACCGTTATCAGACACCAGGCAACACGTGACCTTCCTTGATCCGGTCGACCATGTGTGACTACTGGAACACAGGACAGATTCATACAACTATGTCACATACGTGAAAGAACCACCAAGGCCACCTCTACAGCTACCTCAATACCAATATTGCGTAGGATATCAGCCCAGACGCCGAGGAACTATTTACGCGTTGAAGGTATTCGCTCTAAAATCACTTTTTCGCTGTATTTTGGCAGAGTTGATAATTTAAAAAAACCCCAAAGATATCTATTATTACCAATAAAATGCCTCCATATCGTGTCAGTTTAATAGTGATGAATATCTATATCTGACATAGGGCAATAAATGTGGCTTTGTAAATTCGTGATGCGTTCAAGCTGTGCGGTTTTATGCTGTCTTTGTGTTTAAAATACATAAGTTATATCGTATTTGATATGTTATAACGTAACCGCCAAACTGCCTCTCCCAAACATAATACATATACAAATAGAAATGTATTGAAAGTGACATGAGAAATAACATACATTGTATAATTGACATTAAAGATAAGTATTGTTCTGTAAGTGTTTAATTACTGGGTTAACTTCCATAGCTACAGTTACATTATTATTTACATTCAGCACAACAACATCGCAGTATCATATAGCAAAGCCAACATCTCAGACAAAATCTCTAAATCAGCAAGAAGAAAGAATAAAACTGTGGACCGATTTCAAAATTTCAAGATTTGTTACTGTCGTTAAATTTGAATTACCATTTGGAATTGAATTTAAATCGTAGCCTTTTACGAAATAATACATGTTTTGCCTTACTGTATTGTTTAAGGGACACGTAAGAAAGAAATGAAGTGCATCTATTTGGAACTAAGGATGAGAGATAGTCGGGTACTAGACTGTTTAACATTTTATAAAAAAATATTTAACTTTTGAAAATGCCGTCTTTCTTCTAATGACGTAATATTTGTTTCTCTATAAAGTTTACCGTGACTTGTGCCACGAACAGCCCCACAAATAGTTCTGAGTGCATCTAGATTTAGTTTTTCAAGTAGTAACGCCTGTTCTTTTGTGCAGTTGTCCCATATGTGGCAACTCGTAGTTTCCAGTGTTTTTTTCTATTTAAACGATACTTGAAACTCCTGAGACAGTTAATCATTGGACTAACTTTCTTGACTAGGCTATCGTATCAATGTGATCGTTCCACATACAATCTTCTTGGAGAGTAAGTCCTAGATGTTTATGAGAATGAACTTCCTGAACAGTAGTGTTTCTCATTATCAAAACTGGTTTTACATTTGGAAGAATCTTCTGAGAAAATTGGATAGATACTGTTTAATTAGGGTTGAAATCGACCTGCCAGTTTTCTGCCCAAGAGGATATTCTACTTAGATCGTTATTCAGACAATGTGCTGCTGTATTCGGGCCATTTACCACGACATATAGGGATGTGTGTTCGGCAAACAATCTTATATTACTATCAATATCGTCTATAATGTCGTTTATGAAAATTAGAAACAGTAGCGGTGCTAAAACTTACCCTTGTGGAACTCCGGCCGTAACTGGTCGTAAGTCTGAACGATACCCATTGATAACAACCCGTTGGCATCTTTGTTTTAGGTAGCTTTCAAACCATCTCATTAATTTCCCTTCAATACCATAGGATTTGAGTTTATGGATAATGCCTTTGTGCCAGACTTTATCAAAGGCCTTACTGATGTCGCAAAAGACTGCTCTGATTTCTTTGCCTTTATCCAATTCTCTAGCAATAAAATAATATAAGTAAGTCAGCTGGTTAGCAGTAGAATCTCCTGGCATAAAACCTGATTGAAGATTTGTAAGCAAATTATTATCTCTTAAGTAATTAAAAACATATTTGAAAACGCATTTTTCGAATATTTTAGCCACGCAACACGTGAGAGCTATATGTCTATAATTACTACATTCATTAATATTACCTTTCTTATAAATAGGCACAACGGAAGCTTCTTTCCAACTTGCCGGAAAAGTAGACTTATCCAGAGATACATTAAACAATTTAGCCAGTGGATATGATATCGCTGAAGCACTTAATTTCAATAATCTATTGCCGATACCATCGGGCCCTGTTGCTTTAGTTACATTAACAGATAGAACATCTTGAACTTCCTTTGTTGTTAGAATGATAGCAGAGAGCGATTTCGCTTAATATAAGGGAGAGTTTTATCAGGATATTTAACAGATGCCTGGGCGGAGAAATAATTGTTCATCACATTTGCAATATCTCTTGTATCATCAAATGGTATATCGTTGTAATTAATGGGAAGAAATTTTGTATTACTGGTGCCTCTTAAATATTTTTTAACAAGCCGCCACCATACTTTTTCACCGTACGCATAATTAATTTTACTATCAATCTTGAGTACATATTTTCTCTTTGCAGTGCCAACATAATAGATAACACGGTTTCTTATTTGACGAAATTTAGTCCAGTCAGAATCTAAGTTACGCTTTTTAGCAACCTTATGAATTCTGTTACGTTTCCCGATCAGTCGACGTAACCCACTAGTGATCCATAGTGGATCATTTGGTCTAATTGTTACACATTTGTTAGGAATATGATTATTACATACGTCAGTAATTGTCCGGGTAAAACATTCTGCCATAACGTCAACATTTCTGGATGATAACAAATGATCCCACTTTGTCTCAGTTAAGCTATCAATAATTTCTTCATTATCAGCCATGTTGTAATTATAGATTTTTCTTTTAAAATTTGCATTGCTAGGTATGTTTGCCTTAATTTTTACGAATATAGGACAATGATCACTGCATACAGGATCGGATACACCCGAACTCCACACACTGTCTGCATTAGTTACGAACAGTAAATCAATCAGAGTTCTGGAGGTAGGTGTAATCCTGGTGGGCTCAGTTATAATTTGGGTCAACCCATATATTGCTTGTAAGTGATCTATTTTGCTCATACCTTCTCTAAGAATATCTAGATTAAAGTCCCCAGCTATAATAGTTGGTATATTCAAATCTATTGCATTACATATAGACTGATCTATCAACTCCCAGTAAGCCTCACTTTTATCTTCCCTATAGAATGTCCCAACTACGTATTTACTGGTCTTGCATCTTACCTGTACCCATAATGCTTCGAGTCCATTTACGCACAGATAATCCATGTTTTTAACATATAAATTGTTTTTTACATATACAACTACACCCCTGCCTCGACTTGGTCGATCTTTTCTAATTGGCAAATGAAAACCTGGAATTGAAATATCAACAGTAGGTATGCCGTCATGCAGCCAAGTTTCGGTTAAGCAAATAATATCGTATGAATGACATTCAGTGCAGAGTAGATCTACCTTGTCCTTTAAACTCCTTACATTTAGATGAACAATCTGTAAATTACCATATTTTACTGGCCCAGGCTTTGGGTGAACATCCCCGCAACCTAAGAGAAGTATCACTACTATAATAGACGTTCTAGGCTTATAGATACAACATGAAGAGAGAAACAGCAAGTACTATGTAAATTTGCAAGATGCCTTGCTATAAAGACCAGAAGCAAATAATCCCACCGCCTGTCTATAATGCGCTATATCTACCGGCATTTTTTTTAACAGAATATAATTGTTTTCTATTGAGGCAGGCGGGGAGGTTACGCGCGAAGTATAAAATTGCAATGCTGAAGTGTACTACATATAACCAAAACCTGACAACAGAAAGCTGAATGAAAACTACAGAGAGAAAGAATGTCACAACACTTACAGACAAAACATGACCAACACAAAATGAACTTTCGAAACACAAACAAAATCTATAGACATCAACCGAAATAGTCGGTTGTAGAATAATAATAATAAAAAAAACCCAGATTAATTGGGTAACAATAAGAAGAAAGGATAAAATCCAAGTCACCATAGTTTGGTGTAGAGGAATGAGAAACTAACTGAGAGGGATAAATAACAATAATACTATGAATAAACTGAGCTCACGCCTGGGGCCAGTCTAGGCTCTGGCACACCGGGGTTAATTGCACGGACTTGAATTAATTTGATATGTACCGCAGCATGTTAGTTCGAAACGAGGCCCATGAGTATCAAGTCACAACTATAACTGTCATGTAGGAATCAGAATAAATCGCCAGTGCTTCTTACATGCTCTTAGAGTGAGTGAGTGAGTGAGTGAGTGAGTTGGGTTTAACGCCGCTTTTAACAGTATTCCAGTTATATCACGGCGTGTCAGCTTAATGTGGGAGGAAAGCCCGAAGTGATGCAGGTCTCAGACGTTTACCACTTCGGTGAAACCCACGAGCACAGGTATGGTGCTGACAAACCCAGAAACATGATCGGGGCGAACCGGGATTCGAACCAACAATCATAGGTTTCTGGTGTGCCCAAGGGACGCAACTCTGCACAGCGAATCGCGGCGCCTTAGACGACTGGGCCACCCGTGCCCCCCTAGATGGTGTTAGGGACGTGTATAATAGGGACCTATTGTGGTCTCGGCTGATTGCGTGTCATCGTATCCCGCCTATTTTAAACGTTGCACATGCTTCCGGCCATTGGTTTACCTTGTCAAGACTCGATTATTTACAGGCTGCTGTGATATTGGTGACTGTGT